AAATGAGTTGCTTTAAATTTAATCCATTTATGTTGATACCTACACAAGAAGCAAACTGCCTCCATAGCTTTTGGGCTATGGGAGTTGTTAGTAATAAATGAGGCATAGTCTTCATATGTCCCTCTTCACAACAGTAACATTTAGACACCAACTGCAACCTCATCTTTTTGAGGTTATCATCTGTTGCTATTCTCCTCATCCAAACCCTCCATAAAAAAAATCCAATCTTGAAAGGTAACCCCTTTATCCACATAAACTTGCTCCATTCTTTCTCTGCCCTTTTGTTTCTCACTGTTTGATATGCTGACTTGACAGTGAAAAACCCATTAGTGCTATGTACCCACCAGGCTTTATCACTGTCGTCTGCCTTACTTCTGGCCTTGATGTTCATAACTATATGTTGTACCATCTCCTCTGAAATAACAGATCTCAGCTTGTCCACATCCCACTCATGATTCCTAATAAAATCCTTGACTTCTAATTCCTCCTCTTGCGCCATATCCCCTTTTGTAAAGTATAGAGCTCCTTGCTTGGTCCAATTATCAAACCAAAAACTAGAATTTCCAGCTTTTAATTGCCACCAAATGTCATGTTCCACTTCCTCCCTGATCTTAATCATCTTCCTCCATACCTGTGAAGCTCCGATACTAATTGCAATTACCGGATGCACTTTCTTGCAGTACTTATTCCACATGTATTCAGCCCATAACGAGTTTGTGGAGTCTCGAAAATTCCACCATAACTTAGCAAAAAGTGCTTTGTTTATATCTTGTATCCTCCTAAATCCAATTCCACCTTCCTCCTTTGGTAAACACATATCTTCCCATGCCACCCAATGCTTTCCTTTTATTCCCCCAACCTTCTCCAAAAGAATTTTGCAAAGATTTGATGAATCTGCTCCATGACCTTCTTGGTTGGACTCATTGCTGATAATAAGTATATTGGCATTGACTGAAGTACATGATTAACTAACACCTGCTTACCTCCAAAAGAAAGGAATTTATTATGCCAAGAAAAAATTCTCTTTGCAATTTTCCTTATCAATTCCTCAAAATAACTTGATTTGCTCCTCCCATAATAAACTGGATAGCCCAAGTAAGTGAAAGGAAAATTCCCTTGTCTTATTCCTGTTAACCTTCGCAATCTTATTGCGACAATCAAAGGTGTATTCTCATGGAGATAGAAACAACTCTTTGGTTTATTAATCATTTGCCCTGAGATGCACTCATAATCTCTTAGCACCTGCATCATTTTGATTACTGACCTTTTTTCTCCAGAACAGAAAAGGATAGTATCATCTGCGTAAGATAAATGATTTATCTGTGGACTCCATTTCGGCAACCCATAGCCCTTAAAATTTGCATCCCCGTGTAAACTATTGAGACCTCTCGCTAGGACTTCTGCTGCAATAATAAACAAAGTAGGGGAGAGTGGATCTCCCTGCTTCAGACCTCTAGATGATCGAAAAAAACCATGAGCCCTCCCATTGATCAATACAGAGTACCAATTGTTGGACATAATCCTCCATATCATATCAATAATTATTTCAGAAAAATCAAAACTCCTCATCACTTTGGTTAAAAAAGACCATGAAACTCTATCATATGCCTTGGCCATATCCAATTTCACAACCACATTAACATTTTTACTCCTTTTATTCATATCTCTGATTATCTCCTGTGCCAATAATACATTTTCTGTAATACTTCTACCCTTAACAAAACCTGACTGTGTTGGAGAAATAATCTTGGGTAAAATCACCACAATTCTATCATGTATTACTCTGGATATGATCTTATTCATAAAATTACTAAGACTTATTGGTCTTAGCTCTGAGAAAGTTCGAACCACTTCTTTCTTCGGCAGAAGTACTAAGTTCGTATGAGTAATGCTCTTTGTCAATTCTTGCCCACAGAAAAATGCTCTAACCACCTTAGTGATATCTTCCCCAATGATCTCCCAACAACACTGGAAAAAATGTCCAGTGAATCCGTCCGGCCCACAAGCACTATTCCCAAAAGTCACATGTTATTATCATAAATTTTTAGAAGTTTAAATTATAAATAATTAAGTATTATATTACTAATTAAATATTATAAATTTAAAATTAAAAATAAAAATACACATGTCATCAACATACACAAATAATGACAAATGTCAGCATCTTAAAAAATAGATTTAATATTGTAATGACCCGAAGGGTCATTTTGGTAATTTTTCGTGGAAATGACTATTTTACCCTTTCGTTAGTTGCCTCGAGTCCCATGTTTTGTGGTTGTAAAGTTGGTTTGAGGAAAAGTTGGTAAAAAGTTGAATTTTTGAGAAGTTGAGTTTTTATGAGTTAAAGTTGGTTAAAAAGTGCTTTTTCGAGTCATTTGGAGTTTCGGGACTCGGATCGGATTTCCGTCGATTCCGGCAGTTTTAGAATGTCGAAACAGGTCTGTGTGAAGTTACGGAGTCGAATTTGGAGTTGAAACGAAGAATTGAGGTCCTAAGTTGCTAAAGTTGTGAAATTTTGATAAAGAGTTGACTTTGGTCAACATATGAGGTTCCGAGGCTCAGATTGAAATTCCGAGAGTACCGTTGGTTTCGGGAGGCGATTCTAAGTCTAGAATGAGTCTTGGTTGAATTTTTAGACGCTCCGTTTGAGTTTCGAATTTTTTTGGCGTTAAACTAGTTTCTTGGCATCTTATTGAATTTCAGGTCAAGGAGTCCTCGAATTCAAATTCCGACGGTTCCATTGAGTCCGGAACGTCGAATTTAGTGGGGGTACATATTTAGTTTGTGTGCACGAGATTTTGAACGAATCCCGAGGGTCCAACGGGAACTTAAACTTTGGTGTTATTGTTGTTTCAGCTGCTGTGTTTTTTTTTAGCTGCAACAGCAGTCTTTTTTCTTATTTTTTAAAGCCAAAAACAGTAGCCATTTTCCCCCAACTTGAAAAATACCCATTTCTCCATTTTTAGACTTTGAGAGCTCAAAAATAGGTGATTTCAAGTGGGTTTTCGCAAGGAATTCATTGGGTAAGTTATTTCCAACTTATATCTTTGATTTCCATCGATTATTTATGGATTTTAACATCAAAATTTGAGATCTCAACTGAAAAATTTGGGGGTTTTTGCCTAATCCGAATTTAATAGAAAATTTGAGTTTGTGAACTCATTTCAACTCCTTTTTCGAAACGGTTTTCACTATTGGATTCTAAATTTCTTGGGGAACATTTTTCACTAAAAATTTCCAGATTTCGAGAATATTTTTCGGAACGAGATTTGTTTGACCATTTTACCCTTTTCTCCAAATTTCACAATATTGGTGTTGTTAGATTCGTATTGATTGTGAGATTCCATTTATGAATAGATTGTGGTGATTTGGAGCGTGCTCGGAAGGGTAAAACTCAAATTTGAATTACTAGTTGAAGTGTTTTGAGGCAAGTGACTTCTAAACTTTGTTAAACTATTAGACTACACATGACTACTTTCCTAATTGTGTTGGGGAGTAATGGGGATTGAGGATGAGTTTTATTTGTTGATTGAAATTGTTGTAATTGAAAGATGGGGAATAAAACGAGCTAAATGTGTTATATGTGACTTGAATTTGTTGAATAAGTCATGTGATAACTGAGATTGAGGTGATAGAAGAGCATGAGTAGTCTATGATTGATACAGACATTGATGTTGAGACAGATGATGTGTAATACTATGATGTGATTGTGATATGGTTGTGATTGAGATAGATGATGTGCAATACTATGATGTGATCGTGATATGGTTGTGATTGAGACAAACAATGTGTAATACTATGATGTGATCGTGATCGTGATATGATTGTGATTGATGACATATGCATATTCATTATTCATCCCATGTGTGAACTATCTGTTGCATGAGTTCTGAGACACTGATATGAGGATGGATGGATATGAGACACAGTTGAGACTAGCTCCGGCTAGAGATATATGAGATGGACTAACTCCGGCTAGCGATTTAGATGCCGATGGGATCTGGTTCCGGCGGTGATACATGGTCCATGTGTGGCCCCCATGGGTTCTAATTTGAGTATTCAGCGCGGTCTGATTACGTCAACAGATGTGTATCTTAGGACAGACATGCATCACGACTACATGACATCATTATTGCATTTGCATTGCATTTGACTTCATCTTGGTCTGTGGTGTGTGGATTTTTCCTATTTGCCCCTCTTCATGTGATATATGATCTATTTGCTCTTACATGAGGATATGAGGTTGATGTTGAGACACTGTTAGATATATCTGTTGATTATGAATTGTGTAGTATAGGTTATTGGTTCGCTGTTAGAATGAAGTTTCGGTGGTTCGGTTGGGATTGAAAGGAGTTGTTTGTAGCTGCTAGTTTAGCTTAGCTTAGTGTTACTTGCGAGTACCTGTTGCTTTTGGTACTCACCCTTGCTTCTACACAGTTGTGTAGGTTCAAGCTCTATCAGATCCGGCTTATTACTCATCTTCATATTAGAGCTTCCAGACTTACTTGAGAGGTAGCGGTTCATTCCAGACGTGCCCTCAAGTTATCTATATTTATTGTTCTATTCTATTCTAGAACTTTACTATGAGACTTGTATATTTTATTCAGATTCTGTATTAGAGGTTTGTACATGTGACAACCAATTCTGGGGTTATGTTGAGTTTATTTAAAGACTTCCGCTTATCTTTCTATCTTATTCTTGTTTTATAAATTCTGTATCGTCGGGTTTTTGGGTGTTAGGCTGACGTGTCCGGTGGGGTTTGGGCACGTGCCATCACATCTGGTTTTGGGGTGTGACAAAATGGTATCAGAGCCCAGGTTCGAAGGTCTCACATGTACAAACCAAGTCTTAGTAGAGTCTTGAGGATCGGTACGGAGACGTCTGTACTTATCTTCGAGAGGCTATGAAGACTGTTAGGAAAGACTTCTTCTTTTTTATTCCGTTCTTATCGTGCGAGGTTGTTATCGTGGGTGCTGAGTATCGAGTGTTGTTTTTGGCAGATGCCGAGGGCTAGAGCTACCAGAGTTAGGGGGGAGGCAGCCCCCGAGGTCAGAGTTGAGGCCCCAGCTAGGGGTAGAGGTCGGGCTAGAGGCCGAGAACGTGGTCGAGGCCGTGCCAGAGGAGCGGCACCTGCCCGAGGCCGAGGTAGAGAGCCTTTACCTGAGCCACAAATTGGAGTAGCTGCAGAGCAGGCTCCTGCGGGCCATGCACCCCTAGTTCATGATGACAGACTCGACAGGATATTTGGGTTATTGGAGCGTCTTGCTCAGGGTGCAGCAGGTATACCAGCGGGGTTACAAGCTGGGGTAGGGGCACGGGCCCCTGGTTATCAGCATCAGATTCCAGTGGTTCCAGAGCCGGTGGTTCAGCCACCACAGGGTCCAGCACCGGTTGTAGGTGTACCGGCGGCCCTTAAGGTGGCCTTGGCAGATGATGACCAGGTCTGCTATGAGCGGTTTCAGAAAATGAAACCACTTCAGTTTCATGGTGCTAAGACTGATGATGCTCACGAGTTTTTGACCTTGAGTCGAGAGATGTTGGCGGCGGTACGCATGTTAGATGAGAGGGGTGTCCGATTTGTGTCCCTTCAATTACGCGGTGTCGCTAGGGAGTGGCTGAGGACCTTCATGAGTTCGAGACCAGCGGGATCTCCTCCCATGGAGTGGAGTGAGTTTGCTAGTGCTTTCGAGGGTCGTTTCATCCCTTGGAGTGTACAGGAGGAGAGCCGTGTGAGGTTTGAGAGTTTGGTGCAGGGTAGCATGTCAGTCGCAGATTACGAGGCTCGATTCTGTCAGTTGTCGAGACATGCCTCTGCTTTGATTTCAGGTGAGCCTGAGCGGATTCACAGATTTGTCAAGGGTTTGACTCCCACTATCCGTAGTTATGTGTTTAGATCATCTCGTGAGGGTGCTTCCTTCCAGACTATAGTGAGTGCAGCCAGAGAGGCTGAGTTGCTTGAGCGGGATGACTTTAGTGGGCCCAAGAGGGTTCGTACAGGTGGTCAGTATTGGGGTACCTCGTCAGGAGGTAGGGGTCCACACAGGGGAGGCGGGTCCTTCCTGCGTCAGAGGCCAGTACATGCTTCATTACCAAATATCGAGGGTGGGCCAGCAGCTCGGGGTCCTCCAGGTTCAGGTCGAGGTGGTTATAGCATTACTTCGGGTTCTTCACAGTCAGGATCCACACCGAGGTCTTGTTATGGTTGCGGTGATCCAGGCCACTTGATTCGTCAGTGTCCACATCAGACTCAGTCTGGACCACACCGTACTTTCTCCGCGGTCCCAGAGAGAGATTCAGCACCTCCGGCTAGAGGTCGGGGTCGGGGACCGGCATCTGGTAGAGGCGGACGAGCTTCGGGTAGAGGTGCTAGTGGCGCCTCAGGTTCACAGAGTGGGGGCAGAGGTGCCCAGTGTTATGCTTTTCCTGGGAGGCCCGAGGCTGAGGCTTCTGATGCAGTTATCACAAGTATCGTCTCAGTTTGTCATCGGCCTGCTTCCGTGTTATTTGATCCTGGTTCTACATTCTCATATGTGTCTACATATTTTGCTTCTGGCCTTGAGTTGACTTGTGATCGTATGTCTGTGCCTATTAGAGTCTCTACACCCGTAGGTGAACCCTTAGTGGTGAATCGAGTGTATCGATCTTGTCTTGTTGTCTTATCGGGTATGAGACTTGGGTGGATATGATTCTCCTTGATATGTTAGACTTTGATGTCATATTGGGTATGGACTGGCTTTCCCCCTATCATGTGCTTCTTGATTGTTATGCTAAGACTGTCACCTTAGTTATTCCGGGTATTCCTAGAGTGGAGTGGAGAGGGACTAGTGGTTCGTATCCCAACAGGGTCATATCTCATATTCGGGCTCAGAGGATGATTGACCGGGGTTGTTTATCTTATTTGGCCTTTATTCGGGATGTTGGAGCTGAGTCACCGGCCATGGAGTCTATTCCAGTGGTTCAGGAGTTCCCTGATGTGTTTCCCGAGGATCTACCTGGTGTTCCTCCTGTTCGTGATATTGACTTCTCTATCGACTTGGAGCCGGGCACCAAGCCCATAGCTATTCCACCTTATCGTATGGCTCCAGCAGAGTTGAAGGATCAGATTCAGGACTTATTGAGTAAAGGATTCATACGCCCTAGTGTGTCGCCTTGGGGTGCACCGGTCTTATTTGTGAAGAAGAAAGATGGGTCGATGAGGATGTGTATTGACTATAGACAGTTGAACAAGGTAACTGTGAAGAACAAATATCCCCTTCCCCGTATTGATGACTTGTTTGATCAGCTTCAGGGAGCAGCCTTGTTCTCTAAGATCGACTTGAGATCTGGGTATCATCAGTTGAGGATTAAGCCTTCAGATGTGGCGAAGACAGCTTTTCGCACACGATATGGTAATTATGAGTTTTTGGTGATGTCATTTGGGCTCACCAATGCCCCTGCGACGTTCATGGAGTTGATGAATGGAGTGTTTCGCCCATACTTGGATTCTTTCGTGATTGTGTTTATTGATGACATCTTGGTATATTCCAAGACCGAGGCGGATCATGTTTGTCATTTGAGGGCCGTGCTACAGAAGTTGAGAGATGAGAAGTTGTATGCTAAATTGTCTAAGTGTGAGTTTTGGCTTGAGTCAGTGGCTTTCCTAGGGCACGTGGTGTCTAAGGATGGAGTTAGGGTTGATCCGGCCAAGATTGAGGTGGTTCAGGGTTGGACTAGACCTACATCACCTACTGAGATTCGGTGTTTTGTTGGCTTGGCGGGTTACTATCAGCGTTTTGTTCAGGGATTCTCTACTATAGCTGCGCCGTTGACCAGATTGACTCAGCAGACGGTTCCTTTTCATTGGTCACCCGAGTGTGAGGCGAGCTTCCAAAGGCTCAAATTCCTATTGACTTCAGCACCTGTCTTGACTTTGCCAGAGGAGGGTGTTGGATTTATTGTTTATTGTGGCGCTTCGGGTGTTGGACTTGGAGGTGTTTTGATGCAGAAGGGTAAGGTTGTAGCATATGCCTCTAGACAGCTGAAGGCACACGAGAGGAATTACCCAACTCATGATTTGGAGTTGGCGGCTGTGGTATTTGTGCTTAAGTTGTGGAGACATTACCTATATGGTGTTCATTGCGAGGTATTTACTGATCATAGGAGCCTACAGTACATATTCACTCAGCGGGATCTAAACTTGAGACAACGTAGGTGGCTTGAGTTGCTCAAGGACTACGACATGACCATTTTGTATCACCCCGGGAAGGCCAATGTGGTGGCCGATGCCTTGAGTAGGAAGACTCCTAGTATGGGAAGTCTTGCCGTGATCAGTGTTGAGAGGCGGCCTTTGGTTCGGGATGTTCAGAGGTTATTTGACAGTATGGTGAGATTTCGGGTTTCTGAGGAGAGTGGAGGTGTGTTTGCCTTCATTGAAGCCCGTTTATCTTTGATGGAGCAGATTAGAGAGCATCAGTATGAAGATGGGAAGTTATGTCTCATCCGGGACAAGGTGATGAGTGGTGAAGCCAAGAAGGCTAAGATTGACTCTGAGGGTGTATTGAGGATTGAAGGACGGATATGTGTGCCCAAGGTTGGTGATTTGATCAGATTGATTCTTGAGGAGGCTCATTATTCTAGGTATTCTATTCATCCCGGAGCGGCGAAGATGTATCATGATCTTAGTCAACACTATTGGTGGTGTGGGATGAAGAGGGATATTGAAGAGTTTGTGGCTAGGTGCTTGACATGTCAGCAGGTCAAGTGTGAGCACCAGAAGCCTGGTGGTGTGACGCAGAGGATGCCCATTCCTACTTGGAAGTGGGAGAGGATTGCTATGGACTTCGTAGTTGGATTGCCTACCACCGTGGGTGGTTATGATTCTATATGGGTGGTCGTCGACAGACTGACCAAGTCTGCTCATTTCATCCCGGTCCGAGTGAGGTATACAACGGAGAAGTTGGCTCAGATTTATATTAGTCAGATTGTGCGGTTACACGGAGTGCCGGTGTCCATTGTGTCTGACAGGGGTTCAGTATTCACTTCTCATTTCTGGAGAGCATTACAGCATGATTTGGGCACTAGACTCGACATGAGCACAACTTTTCACCCTCAGACTGACGGTCAGTCTGAGAGGACTATTCAAGTGTTGGAGGACATGCTTCGGGCTTGCGTGATCGACTTTGGTACTAGATGGGATCAACACTTGCCATTGGCAGAGTTCGCCTACAACAACAGTTATCATTCTAGCATTGGGATGGCACCTTTTGAGGCACTGTATGGTAGGCGGTGTAGATCACCTATTGGATGGTTTGATTCAGCGGATGTGGACTCCCTTGGTACTGATATTCTTAGAGAGGATATGGAGCGTGTTCGTGTGATTCAGAGTAGGCTCTTGACTGCCCAGAGTAGGCAGAAGAGTTATGCTGACAGGAGGGTTCGACCCTTAGAGTTCATGGTGGATGATCGAGTTTGGCTTCGGGTATCGCCCATGAAGGGTGTGATGAGATTTGGGAAGAAGGGCAAGCTCAGCCCTAGGTTCATTGGCCCATATGAGATTTTGGAGAGGATGGGAGAGGTGGCTTACAAGTTAGCCTTGCCACGTAGTTTGACAGCCGTGCATCCAGTTTTCCATGTTTCTATGCTCCGGAAGTATGTTCCGGATGAGTCTCACGTGATTTCGGTTGAGTCGGTGGAGTTGAGTCCAGATTTGACATTTGAGGAGGAGCCTATAGCTATTTTGGACAGGCAGGTTCGCAAGCTCCGGACCAAGGACATCGTTTCAGTGAAGGTTAAGTAGAGGCATCGATCAGATAGGGAGGCGACTTGGGAGTCCGAGGATGATATGCGGGTTCGATATCCCCAGCTTTTCGAGGCTTCAGGTACTTTCTTTTACTTTATGTTCGAGGACGAACATGGTTTTTAGTGGTGAATGATGTAATGACCCGAAAGGTAATTTTGGTAATTTTTCGTGGAAATGACTATTTTACCCTTTCGGTAGTTGCCCCGAGTCCCATGTTTTGTGGTTGTAAAGTTGGTTTGAGGAAAAGTTGGTAAAAAGTTGAGTTTTTGAGAAGTTGAGTTTTTATGAGTTAAAGTTGGTTAAAAAGTGCTTTTTCGAGTCATTTGGAGTTTCGGGACTCGGATCGGATTTCCGTCGATTCCGGCAGTTTTAGAATGTCGAAACGGGTCTGTGTGAAGTTACAAAGTCGAATTTGGAGTTGAAACGAAGAATTGAGGTCCTAAGTTGCTAAAGTTGTGAAATTTTGATAAAGAGTTGACTTTGGTCAACATATGAGGTTCCGAGGCTCAGATTGAAATTCCGAGAGTACCGTTGGTTTCGGGAGGCGATTCTAAGTCTAGAATGAGTCTTGGTTGAATTTTTAGACGCTCCGTTTGAGTTTCGAATTTTTTTGGCGTTAAACTAGTTTCTTGGCATCTTATTGAATTTCGGGTCAAGGAGTCCTCGAATTCAAATTCCGACGGTTCCATTGAGTCCGGAACGTCGAATTTAGTGGGGGTACATATTTAGTTTGTGTGCACGAGATTTCAAACGAATCCCGAGGGTCCAACGGGGACTTAAACTTTGGTGTTATTGTTGTTTCAGCTGCTGTGTTTTTTTTTAGCTGCAATAGCAGTCTTTTTTCTTATTTTTTAAAGCCAAAAACAGTAGCCATTTTCCCCCAACTTGAAAAATACCCATTTCTCCATTTTTAGACTTTGAGAGCTCAAAAATAGGTGATTTCAAGTGGGTTTTCGCAAGGAATTCATTGGGTAAGTTATTTCCAACTTATATCTTTGATTTCCATCGATTATTTATGGATTTTAACATCAAAATTTGAGATCTCAACTGAAAAATTTGGGGGTTTTTGCCTAATCCGAATTTAATAGAAAATTTGAGTTTGTGAACTCATTTCAACTCCTTTTTCGAAACGGTTTTCACTATTGGATTCTAAATTTCTTGGGGAACATTTTTCACTAAAAATTTCCAAATTTCGAGAATATTTTTCGGAACGAGATTTTTTTGACCATTTCACCCTTTTCTCCAAATTTCACAATATTGGTGTTGTTAGATTCGTATTGATTGTGAGATTCCATTTATGAATAGATTGTGGTGATTTGGAGCGTGCTCGGAAGGGTAAAACTCAAATTTGAGTTACTAGTTGAAGTGTTTTGAGGCAAGTGACTTCTAAACTTTATTAAACTCTTAGACTACACATAACTACTTTCCTAATTGTGTTGGGGAGTAATGGGGATTGAGGATGAGTTTTATTTGTTGATTGAAATTGTTGTAATTGAAAGATGGGGAATAAAACGAGCTAAATGTGTTATATGTGACTTGAATTTGTTGAATAAGTCATGTGATAACTGAGATTGAGGTGAGAGAAGAGCATGAGTAGTCTATGATTGATACAGACATTGATGTTGAGACAGATGATGTGTAATACTATGATGTGGTCGTGATATGGTTGTGATTGAGATAGATGATGTGCAATACTATGATGTGATCGTGATATGGTTGTGATTGAGACAAACAATGTGTAATACTATGATGTGATCGTGATATGATTGTGATTGATGACATATGCATATTCATTATTCATCCCATGTGTGAACTATCTGTTGCATGAGTTCTGAGACACTGATATGAGGATGGATGGATATGAGACACAGTTGAGACTAGCTCCGGCTAGAGATATATGAGATGGACTAGCTCCGGCTAGCGATTTGGATGTCGATGGGATCTGGTTCCGGCGGTGATACATAGTCCATGTGTGGCCCCCATGGGTTCTGATTTGAGTATTCAGCGCGGTCTGATTACGTCAACAGATGTGTATCTTAGGACAGACATGCATCACGACTACATGACATCATTATTGCATTTGCATCGCATTTGACTTCATCTTTGTCTGTGGTGTGTGGATTTTTCCTATTTGCCCATCTTCATGTGATATATGATCTATTTGCTCTTACATGAGGATATGAGGTTGATGTTGAGACACTGTTAGATATATCTGTTGATTATGAATTGTGTAGTAAAGGTTGTTGGTTAGCTGTTAGAATGAAGTTTCGGTGGTTCGGTTGGGATTGAAAGGAGTTGTTTGTAGCTGCTAGTTTAGCTTAGTTTAGTGTTACTTGCGAGTACCTGTTGCTTTTGGTACTCACCCTTGCTTCTACACAGTTGTGTAGGTTGACAGCT